CCTCAGTCTCAGCCAGAAGCTTCCTCAGCACATCTCTAGTAGTCACTGGAGAGTTGAGCACTGAGCAATGAGACCCATTGCTCAGCACCCTTGTTCAGGGAGGGACCTAGGAAGCAAATCTAGGCCCTTCAGATTAGCATTCAAAGCCCTTTAATACCCAAGTCCCACGTGCCCCCACCCTAAAATTCCCCTGGGGACCTGACAGGTCAGCAGCAAGTGATTTGGCCTGGGAGGGGACTGGAGCTCAGAGCAGATGCCCCATCTAAAGTACGCACCACTGTCGGCTCCAGCACAAAATAGCCATGGCCTTGACTGGTTCTCCTGACTGTGGCTGTTGTCTCTCCTCTGGTTCATGCAGCCTCCTTCTCCATCTGTCTTTCACTCCCACCTCTGGCACCTTCCACTTCCAGGAGCTTGAGTTTGACTGTCCCCCATGTGTGATGTCTCCCTTCCTGATGTCTTCCAGCTGTGCTTCTCTCTTCACCGCCCCCCCCAGTCCCCCACTCAGGCAGCTCTGCAAAGCTTTGGTGCTTGTACCCAGAGTCTCTTGTGCTTCCTGCTACACAAGCTGCCTCTCCTCATAGTCCTTCAGTAATACCCCCTTCCAACTGCCCTGGCTGGGTGGCTCAATTGGTTAGAGTGAAGCCCTGTACACCAAAGGCTGCAAATTGATGTCTAGTCAGGGCAGGTAACTTGGTTGTGGGTTCTAGCTCTTGGGCACATATGGACCTGTAGAAGATGACTGATCGATGTTTCTCTTTCTCTCAAATCAGTAAACATATCCTGGGGTGAGGACTAATAACAACAATGATAATAGTAATGTGACTATTACTAATTAGAACACTCTCTGACTGTCAACTGTGCCACTGAGGTGCAATATCTGGAATTGTTTGAGTCTGCCTATGACTTTCTTCCACGTGTGCCCTCCTCCAAATTTCTCCTTTGCTTATTCTTCTCCATTCCAGCCACTATTGGTGAAATTAGGAGACCTGCTTAATGGTGTATTCTCACTCACTAATGTGCCCATGGGGGGAGGCTCCTCTTCTGCTCCACTGAAAACCTCTGCATCTTAGGCCTGTTTTCAGTTTATCAGCTCCCCTATCTCTACCTCCAGCCCCAGATCAACTCTCCAGGCTTGTGATTGATTAAGGAAGCTACTTCCTCAATGCCCTCAACCCTTTGCATGTCACCACAAATGTCTCTGAGTACCTAGGGCTGTAATGAAGAAGGCTCGGGGCAATATGAGTGTTGTCTTCTGCATGGAGTTTCTTGGGCCCAGGGAGAGAAAGGGAGAGAGGACCACCATCCACCCCAGAACCAGATAGAAAGTAGACTCAGTAAAAGATTTGGTGGGCATGGGGTAATTTCTTCTCACTTTCTTCTGCAGGGATTCAGGTATATTAGTCTTAATGGGGTGTGTCTGGGATTCTCAGTCTCCACAATGCAGTGATTCTAATGTCTTCCAAACCTTTCCTGTGTTAACAGGGACTCTCACAGTTGGACTGGCCCTTGGTAGACAGGAGCTCTCACTTTGCTCCACCTGAACCCCTCTCAATCACATGCTACTAGCTTAGAGGAGCCAGGACACCTTGAAGAAGTACTTGATTCCAGGCCAGGGGCAGGACAAAGATAAGACAATCCAGGGACATTTTGTAGTACTAGAGAGTAAAGAAGTGGTCAGAGTCTGCCTCCACCACTGCTGGTGCTGGACAGCCTGCAGACTTGGGGCCGATGGAGGCCTCCTCTAGGACAGCTGCACTGCCAAGCATCCCCAGGCAGCACATGGGAAGTTGCTGACTTCTATATTCCACCCTTGCCAAACATATCCCATTGTGCACACATCTAGTGTGGGATCCCTCCTGGGGCAAGCTGAGCACCATGGCTGAGAAGCTTGACTGCTACCACCACACGGATGCCCAGCAGGGGGAAAAAGTGCTTGGAGAAGGATAGCCACCACTGCTGCCTGAAGTGCTTAGAGAAATTCTGCTAGTGGCATGACACCTGCTACCACTGTGACTGGGGCCTGCACCCCTTGACCAAAGAAACCTTTGTGTCTAAGGACAACAAAAGCCCGTGGAAGAAGTGCACCATGCAAGAGGACTCCCTAAAGTCCAAGGGCTGCTTCAAGCTCATTGTAGCAGGAGATTAGAAGCGGGGTCCATGGGGGACCATCTGGCACAAAAACTACTTCACCATCAGCAGGTGCAAGCCAGTCGTTGGGACTGGGAGCTTCTTCTTTAAAGGGGGACTTGTACTGCATGACTTGCCATGAGGCCAAACTTGCCAAGCATTGCATGAAACTCAACAAGGCTATTAAACCAGGACAAGTCACTGTCCATGGTAAACTCTGGCATGCCAAGTGCCTTGTGTGTGTTAACTGATCTAAGAAGCTGGCTGGGCTGTGTTTCACCACTCTGGAGGACCAGTATTACTGTGTGGATGGCTACGAGGACTTTGTGGCCAAGAAGTGTGCTAGATGCAAGAACCCCATCACTGGGTTTGGTAAAGGCTCCATCCAGTGTGGTGGCCCATGAAGGACAATTGTGGAGGGTCTATTGCTTCCACTGTAAGAAAATAAAAAGGCACCATGAATCTGGCCAACAAGTACTTTGTTTTTCATGAGGAACAGGTGTATTTCCCTGACTGTGCCAGAAACCAATAAATTGAGAGGAGCTCCTGTCCTGTAAAATGGAATTAATTCTTGTTCTCTGTGTTGTCACCCAGTGCCCTACACCATCTATAGGAAAAGATCGCTTTTACCCCTCCAAAGTTGTGCCTTTTCTCACATTTCACAGTATTACTCAAATAAGAGAATATATTGATCATAGTAGAATTTAGTAAAATGCATGGCGGCTGGTGTGGCTCAATGGATTGAGTGCTGGCTTGTGAATCAAAAGGTCACTGGTTCAATTCCTAGTCAGGGCACCTGCCTGCATTGTAGGCCAGGTCCTCAGAAGGGAATGTGGGATAGTAAACTACACATTGATGTTTCTCTCCCTCTTTTTCCTTTCTTTCTCCTCTCTAAAAATAAATAAATAAAATCTTTAAAGAGTACAATTTCTGAAAACTCAATTTTGCAGCAAAGTTAATTTTTCAAAGGCTGCAGTTAAAAATTTCACTCTTAGGTATATTGACTCTTCTGCATGTATATCATACGGCAGGAAAGAACTAACCATTTGGATGCTTAGTGATGTAAGAAAGAAGCCTAACAGATAAAGTTCCCACTGAGATGCCCTTTGTGACTCAGCTAGGACCCACCGTGTCTTCACGTGACACACAGGAGCTGAAGAGGCTACTCCAACTGCCTTCTCCACCCTGTGGCTCACCCTGTGTTCTGTGAGCAGAAGAACTTACTAAAATGCATAGTTTAACTTCATCACCAAAACTTTCCTTCTGTTCTTTTGTGCTTTTGATCAACTAATATGAGTTTCTAGAAAATTAACATTTGAACTTGGCTGTGATTTTTTAAACTCACCTTTTACCTGTACTAATATTGGAGCCCCCAGTGTGCCATACGTTCTGAACATTCCTACTTTCAAGTGTGGAACATGCAGGTGATTTGGAGAGTGTAGCCAGGACTGGGAGAATGAGCCTGCTTCAGAGGAACATGGTCACAGTGAATACTTCTGGAAGCTAACGAAACTAACCCAGCTTTTGTTTTTGTCTTTTCAAACAATAATATTTCGTTTTGCCCTGGTGAGTGTGGCTCAGTGGATTGGATGCCAATCTGTGAAATAAAGAGTCAGAGGTTCAATTCCCAGTGAGGGCACATGCCTGGGTTGTGGGCCAGTTCCCCAGTGGGGGCCATTTCAGAGGTAACCAATCAGTGTTTTTCTCTCCCATCAAGGTGTCTCTCCCACTCTTTTTCTCTCCCTTCCCTTCTCCCTAAAAAATAAATAAATACAATCTAAAATTTTAAAACAAACAAAGAAAAATAATATATTCTGTCTTATAGCTTCTAGTAAAGATGGAGATGTAGGTCAACATGGTCTCCTCATTACACAACCACAGAAAATGACAGCTAAACTACAGAACCATCACTCACAACCATCAGGAAACGTAAGCTATATGGAAGTCTGAGAACTAAGGAATTAAAGAAACAACATTCATACATATGGGTAGGAAGGGTGGAGGGGCAAAGACAGGAAGATTTGGAATGGGGCCAGTCTCATACCCATATGTGGTGGATATAAATTGTGGTGACATCTCAGTAGTGAGGGATCCCAGCGCACAGCATCCCAGTCAGCCCAGGGTTCCAGTGCTAGGAAGCTAAGTCCCCATAACTTCTGGCTGTACAAACCAGTGAAGGTTGGGTCAGTGGGGTATTCAGGCTTCTACTCTTGGAGAACCCTGGACATGAACTTACTCAGACCCACTCCCTGCAGGCTCCACCATGGGGCAAGCACCTTGAAGGACACCAGGGATACATGTGGAAGAACTGAAGTGTCTGGCATCAGGATGACAGCTGGGAGACAGATTCTCCCCAGAAATGACTGCAGACAACAGCCATGTTCCTTTTCTGAGCCCTGCTTCACACAGAGCCACTGTGCAGGAGAACAATATCTTAGACTCCATCACCTCGCTTAGTTAGTCTACACTGAGCAACTATGCCCAACTATGTGAAATCTGAGTGAATGAGCAAGAGTGTAGGCAAGTGTGTGGAAGCAAATTAGATGCCTGCTCAGAATCTGGAAACATTTTTTGACAGAGCCCTTCACATTGTATAATAATATACTAAGCTGTTATATCTTAGTTTAGGAAGAGGTGACTCTTAAGAACCCATCCAAAGTTTAGTAGGCTTAGGATAGCTGTACTTGGGCAGATCTGAGTTCAAGTACTTGTTGAGCATTTATTGTGTTCTGTTGAATCTCAGATAGAGACTTTCTGAGTGTCAGCTGTATCTCCCATAATTTGGGCACAAGCACAGTTCCTGTTTCACAGGTTTGTGAGCCTCAAGGGCAGCAAGTGTGTAATGATTTGAGCATAGAGCTGACACAGAGTACATGTTAATAGAGAATAGCTGTTATTATCATTCATAGAACTGATATTACTATATTCATAGTACATTTGCTTCCTTTCATTCCAGCTCTGAAGGCTCAATCTCTAGCATGTGAATAGACAACTCATCTGTTTTTTTTTCTCTACTATCCACCTTGCACCTTCTTTTTCTCCAGCCCACTGCCTACATTCTCAGCACCCCCCCAACTCTACCCCACCCAGGCCACACCCCTCAACCGTTTGTTCTCCCACTAGCCCTGGGACTTTGTAGGGGCAGTTACATTTCTAGCTCAGTGGGGCAGGAAGCTCATGGTGTAGTTTGGTGGGATGGTGGCAAAGCCCACATGTTTGGGAGACACATCGATGTCCTGGGGTGTCTTCAGAGACTTGAAGTGGAAGTTCTGCATGATGGTGGTGAGGAAGAGAAAGAGCTCCATTCTAGCCAGGCCTTCTCCAAAACAGTACCGCTTTCCTGAAAAGACAGGTGGGAGGAGGTGAGGCCTACTCCTCTTTCAATTCCTGATGTATTCTCCCGGAGAGGAGGGGGACAGTCTGTGGAAGGCCTGAGAGACCTTCAGAGAAGCCCCTAAGCTCCCTCAGCCTCAGTTTCCCTTGTATGTGGGACTGGGGTGAGTCATATCAGGATGTAGCAAAGGGAATTTACATGACCCTTCCTCTCAAACACACTCATATGGCTACTGTGCAGCCATCTCCTTCAAAAATCTGAACAATTTAAGTGACCTTGGACAAGACTCTCAGTCTCTCTGGGCCTTGACTTTTCTCATTTCTGCAATGGATATGATCATCCCTTTCTTTCTGACTGGGCTTAGGTACTTGGTAGTTATGAAGTTTGCAGCTGGTTGTCTGTAGGGTATAACATAAGAGGGACTTCCAAGGTGGAGGAAAACACTAGGCTACACCTCAGAGAGGGGAGCTGGGATGAAGGGGTCCCTGTTGTTGTGACTGGTGGCCTGGCATCACACAGTAGTCTCTTACCGATGGAGAAAGGCACAAAAGCATCATTCTTCTTAAACTGTCCCTCCTCATCTAGGAAGTGCTGGGGGTTGAAATCAAGAGGGTTGGAGAAAAACTTGGGGTCCTTCAGCACAGAGCCCAGCATTGGAAACACTTCAGTGCCCTGGTGGGGGGGGGGAAGGGGATTTGATAAGTGAAAGGAGGAATGTGTGTGCTGACAGCTCATGGAGTTAGAGGGGGTATTTGGGTACCAGAGGTGAGAAGAAATGGGAGGCATGGGAGTCAGGGTCTTTCCTGAGGTAGGAGATTTGGGGGATATGAGTTTTAAGTCCCTGTGACCAAAAGTTCAGGGAACCTGGGGTCTGTGCCTCCTGGGGCTGGAGGATTGGGGGCCATGAGTCAGTCATGTCCCAGATGCAGGCTGGCCTTGGGAGTGAGGTTAATGTCACCTGGGATACAAAGTTGGGGGGACATGGGGTTCATATGTACCTAAGACCTAAGGCAAGAGGTCATAGGTACACAGGGGATTCAGGTGTATCCAAGTGGGAAAGTTGAAGGGACATGTGATTGAGGAAGTTGACAGGTTGAGAGAGTCAGACAGGCACTGGGAAGCTTTTAAGGACAGTGGGGTGCTGAGTCACAGGGATCAGGTTTGAGATCCATGTAGACTGGGCAAGGGCAGCACCTTGGGGAGCAGAAAGTTGCGAAACTTGGTGTCCTTGGTGACTCTACGAGCCAGGCCCATGGGGATAATGTCTCCGAATCTTTGGATCTCATGGATTACTGCCTCTGTGTAGGGCATCTTGGCTCGGTCTTCGAACTTGGGCTGACGGTTCTTGCCAATCACTCGGTCAATCTCTTCATGGACCTTGGCTGGTAGATAGGGGAAAATATGTTTCGGTACCTAGTGGTCTCTGGGCAGGGATGATAAATGTGCAAATCTGCAAATCTGCACAACTGGATATATGACATGACACACATGACTTCATGTGTGACATGGAGGAAACAATTAATTAGGTTGTCCCGAGACATTGTTGGCACTGGGTCCTGACTACCTGGTTGTGCCAGAATCATCGGGGAATCTGTGAGGGAGAAGACTTGGGGAATGGTCTTCAGGGGCAGGCAGTGGGCTCTTGGTGGGCTGAGCACAGGAGCTATTTACTAATCAGTTCAGATTGTTTCAATATTTTAACTGGGAATGAAATTTGGCTGATGTCTATTATCTGAGTATCATCACCTAGTGTGTGTTTAGCAGGATGTGTCTGAGGGCCCAGGGGATTTGAGAGGTGAGGAAGTACAGTGGACTCAGAGGAAGTTTGAGAGTCTGTGGCCTTCATTTCTCTGCCCCATACAGCCTTACCTGCCACATCTGGGTGCTTCATGAGCAAGAGGAAGCCATAACGCAGGGTTGTGCTGACCGTCTCGGTGCCCGCAAAGAAAAGGTTCAGTGTGGTCATTATGAGGTTCTTCAAGTAGAACTCTGTGTTGGGATTCTCTTGTTCCTGCAGGGAAGGACAGCTTCAGGCCTAGCCCACTCCCCCATGCTCTCAAATTCCAAAGGTGGTAAGAAGGACCCTAGGTGTTCCAAACCTATTCCAGGCTGCCGCTTCTTCCCCAAATGCTCTTCTCACACTCCTTACCCAGCTGACTATATGTCCTTTAATTATCGGTTTAGTTACCACTTTTTAATTGTAGAAATATTTAGAAAGGGAGAAGTGGTTACAGACAGTGAATGAGAAAAGAGAGGTAGAGAAACCATTATAGATTGCCTCAGAGAGAGTTGAAGAGATATTTTCTGAAACAGAGACAGACTTTTAAGCAGCTGTGTAGTACTCCCTCCCCAAAAAAACCTTGCAGTTTATTGTGAAGAATCCACTCCCCGATCCTTTCATCTTGAACTTAAGACTCCATAAAGCCCCATCTCCTTTCTTTACAGAAGGGAGACTGACATTCAGCTAGGAGTGGGAACTCTCAGGTGTCACAGTAAAGCCAGGTCACCTGTTCACACAGGTTACCTGACAATCAGGGAACAAAAGGTAAGAGTATGGAGGCTGAAAGCACTGGCCTTCGAGTCTGAGAAGCCAGGATTTGAGCTAGGTTCCAGTGCTTCCTCACTGCGTGACCTCAGGCATGGCACTTATACTCTCTGGGTCTCAGTTTCCTCATTCCTAAAACCAAGATCATAGCAGACCCCTACAAGAACTGGTATAAGTGTTAAGTATGTGAAAACCCTAAAGTTGTGAAAATAGTGCCTGTTGCATGATAGTGTTGTGGATGTGCTTGTGCTTATGATTTGCACATGGAAGTCCAGCCCATGGGTAAGAGCTCAGTAGAGAGAACAGTAATGGTTAATTCATTGGAGTTATGAGGATTATTACGATGTAGTGGGAAAAATGCGTGAGCCTCTTTCCCTCCCACCCCCAGTGTGACTGCTGTCTCACCAGTGGCTGCTGACATGTACCTCCTGCATGCGGATGAGGAAGGAGTCAATAAAGTCCCGAGGGGAGTTGGGATCCAGCGTGCGTTGGTTCTGCTCCACCTTCTTGGCTACAAACTCTTCCAGCCCCTTAAGCTCCTTAAATGCCTGTTGCTGGGGCCCTGGTAGGTATTTCATCACTGAGTAGAACATCTCATATAGCTGATGGTGGGGTGTGGAGAAGAGAAGGGAAGGACACGAGTTGATGGCCATCATCAAATGGGAGTGGAACTTGTGTCAGGGCAAGGGAAGCACTAGTTTAAAGGCACCAGAACTGATGTTTAGGTATTTAGGTGGGACTGGATGCAGTAGATATCTATAATTTCAAGTGAGTTACGTGTGAAGTACCTTTTTCTAGAATTTAGTGAAATTGGGTTGGGATACAGATCTAGAATTCCTCCTTTTCTCCCTCCTTCTCTCCTTTCCTTACCCCCACCCTCTGTCACTTTCTTCCCTTTTGTTTTTGTAGAAGTACAGCTGAGATATCCAGGAATTGGAGAGTGGGTTTTGGGCACCTCTCCTAGGTTTACTTGTGCAAGGAAGAAGACTCATTTTAAAGGAACAGTGTCTGTAAGAGAATAGGATTTGGGCACCTTGAGTCCATGTGGAAGAGTAGGTGGTTGGTTGTGGTAGGGTCCACGTTGAACCGGGGGCAGGACCATTTACCTGCCCAGTAGATGTAGCTGTGAACTGGAAGCTTCCCCGAATCATGCCCAGCAGTGAGAGGAACTCTTTGTCCTCATAGTCAAAACGGTCCCCAAACACAATGGTGCAGATGACATTGGAGACAGCTTGGCTCAGGAAGAAGGTGGGGTCTATGAAGGTGCCTGAGAGGTGGTGTGGGGTCAGAAAGTGAGAAGGGATTTGGTAGAGTGAACTTGATGATCTGATGCAGTCTGTGAATTCCAGGAACAACTTTTCCCAACCCAGTTCCCTCCCTAGGTCAGAAAGCTCCTGTCCATGTAGTGCGTTTTCCTCCTCCATACCCTGGAGTACCCAGCTCACCACGTGTGCCCCGAAATGCCTCAAGGAGGAAGCCTGCCTCCTCCTGGATTCGCTCTTCAATGCCCCGCTTGCCGATTCCGAAGTCCCTCAGCGTGGTGATGGAGAAGCGCCTGAGCTGCTTGGCGCGCTCCCCGTTGCTAAAAACCGGGCCTGGGGAAAGGGGTAGGAGTGGGGAGTGGGCTTAGAGAGGGGAGGGAACTGAAAGTGTGGGCAGAGAGAAAGAGAGATGTAGAGAATGGCAGAGGAAGAAGTACAAAAAGAGATAGAGGACAGAGAACAAGTTGGAAGGAAATCAGAAGGAAAGGTGAAAGATGGGTGCACAGAGAAACAGTGGGATGCAGAGACACTCACATGAAGAGAGAGAGAGATAGTGGAGGGAAGCAGGGAAAGTGAGGTATCTGGAGATCTGGGAGGTGGAAGTAAAAATTGATAGGGATCCTAAAACGAAGGTAGAGAATGGTGAAAAATATATACTAAGAAACAGAGAAGGTCTGGAGACAGAAGAGTAGTAACAAGAAGTGGAGGCATGTGCATTTTGGAAAAAAGATAGTATAAAATTCTAGGACAAAGAGGCAGGGAGGTGGAGAGAGAAACATGGAGAAGCACAGAAAATTAGAAAGAGAATAAGTCAAAAAGGAACATGGAGATATGGGACCAGGCATCCAAAGCAAAAATCCCAAGAGCTTCTAAGAGATACAGAGAGGAGAGATGGTTAATGAGAGAGAAGTGGGAGATGGAGTAGAGAGAAGCAGGGAGATGCAGACACACTAAGAGAAGTTGGACGGGTCACAGGGATAACAGGGATGGAGATAAAAATGGAGAGGAAGTGCTCTGACACAGGCCTGAGTGGGTGGGTCAGTTGGCAGCAGAATGCTGGGGAAACCGAGGTCATTAAATTTGCATGACCCCACACAGGATTTTCCTCACCGTAGCCTTGGCAGAGCCAGTCGAAGGTGGCCTGCTCGCCTCGCCCACTGAATTCCTCTGCCTGGTCCACCAGAGCCTCCTTCACAGCCTCCTGGCCACACAGCACCACCACCCGCCGTGGGCCCAGGTGTACCGTGAACACTGGACCATAGCACTCCCTGATCTGAAGGAGGGGGGCAGGAGTGGTGAGTGCACACAGCCTCAAGTCTGAACTGGCTCTGTATCCAGCCCTGACAGAATGGCACTCATTTTGCCCAGGTTCTGACAGTCAAGGGACTGCACACCCCAAGATCTGGTCTTTCCTGGCTAGGACCCTGACGCTAAACTTTCAAAACACCCTCTTCCTGTGATTTTGGCCCATTCTTCCCAATCCCTAACCACAAAGTCCCAGCCAGACTGCAGAGGCCCTCAGCTCCACCCCACCACCTATCTCCCTGCCTGCTGACACCTTCATGAGGGAGTTGTACATCTGCTCAGTGTTCAGCTGCAGGTAGTTCCCGATGAAAGGCAATGCAGGTGGGCCAGGAGGCAGCTTTCCCCAGAGCTTCCTTTGCTTCCAGACAGACATCAAGACCATTATAGTGAGGCAGGCCAGCAAAGCCACCAGGAGCAGCCCTGAGGCCAGCATGGTGGCACTGAGAGTGGCAGTGAGATGGTGAAGGCTGGCGTGTCGGTTTGACTTTATACCTCCTGGGCAGAAGGGCAGATTCTGGTTCTGTTTATGTAACTGTGTTGTATCACCTCCGAACTACAATTTCTGCTGGACTTCCAGCTCAGTTTGGGATGCAGCCAATAGCTTATGAGGCAACTTATGTGATTTACAGAGAGTGTGCCGAAGACTGAATTTGTGGCTCCTTGTGAGGGGCCTGTCCTTGGGTGTGGGCTCTGGGTGGGGGGGTAAAAATAGACAAATTTCAGAATGGAATATTCTGGAATTTTTGCATGTGTGAGCCTCTGAGCTTGTGATTTTGGGTCTCAGAGTGAGAAGGACACTAAAGTTGTGGGTTTTGGGGTCTTCAGAGAGAAGAATGAAAGATTTAAGGGTATTGGAATGAGAGAAAATGTGTGCTGTGGATTTGGGGGTGCTTTGCTGAGGGGTGATGTAGGTTTAAACATGTGAAGATGAGAGAGAGAGAGAGAGACAGAGAGAGAAACAACTTCAGATATTGAAGTTGTACTTCATGTACAACTGTACAGTACAGTTGACACTGTACTTCTCTGAGTAAGCTGCTGGACAGGAGCCTAATACGTGTATTTCTCTGCAGCTGTTGACAATGCCTCTGCTGGCACAAGACTCTGATCCCCAGGGTTATAAGGAAAAACATTCACTGGGCTCCTTGGTACAGTTAAGGCATTAATTCAGAGTGGTAGTTTCATTTTAAACATTCTGCCATAACATGGCATAGACAGCCAGTGAATCAGCAGGAGTATATATGGGTCCTGGTGAGCAGTCTGTTCCTAGGAGTATAGACCTCAGCATGCTAAATGAAGTTGCTTTGTCTCCTTCACCCTCCTAGTTTCCTAAAAAAAGGACCTTTCATGAGGGGCCACCCTATGGGTCCATATATCATAGAGCACAGAGTCTTTCCTCTGAGTGCTCCATAGATGAGGGGTCAGATGCTGTTTGGGACACATGACTGATCATCGTCACAGGCTAGTCTTTGCCCTGAGCCCAGTGTGAGTCACAGCTTCATTCTAAGACACACAAATAGGTCCAGGCCAAGTCAAATGACCCAGGGTGACATTGAGGAGGACCCAAAGCCTATAGCCCTGTCCCTAAAGGCTGAGTGAGTAGGAGAACTTTCAGCTTGGGTCAGCCAAATCTGTAGCAGAAGCTTGATAGGACTTGGCAATGCAACACAAGGCAGCACAGCTCTGATTAACATCGGCTTACCTAGCGGGGGAGCCTGAGCCTGTATTCTAATTTAGTTAGCAAGGTTTAGATAACCTGAGCAAGGATCAAAACTTCAATTAATCCTGCGACCAATCTGACACCCAGAATACCAAATCTCACCCTGGCAAGGATGAGAAAGAGGGCAATTCCCTTCTAGGAACTTGTAACACCACATCAACCATGTGCAGTCCCTAGGGCAGTCTGTGAAAGGGTCATGATGAAATCCAGCATGTGGTTTGTTTATTTACCTCTGGGTCACTAATCTGAGTAGCAGAGTCAAAGGATAGAAGCAGCATGGGGAGCTGATGAGGCAAGAGAAAAGTTAGGCCAGAGAAACGGTATTTGAAACATGGTGACTCAGAAAAAGCTGAATAAGCAGATCCCTCTCCACAGCACCTGGAGTGGGGACTCCCATGTGTATTCATGCGTGTCCATGGAGCAGTTAGCATGCCACCAACATCTATTGTAGATGTGGTGGCTGAATGGGATCACTGGCCCATTCAGAAATAGGTATCAGGAGAGTTTGGGGGAAGGATAAGCCAAAAAGAAATATAGCAGGAAGATGCAAACAACCACAGCCTCTGAGGTGTGACTGAAAGACAGAGGAAGGGACTAAGCATGGACCAGAGACTACCTCAGCACAGTCAAATGGAGAATATGGATACAGCCACTGGGGCTACAGTTGAGTGACATGCAAAGTGAGGTCAGACAAAGGCTGATTCTGGAAGAGGGTGGAACAATTAGCAGAGATCTCCCAGAGAGAACTGGGTAGGGAATACTCGTGTTATGGGTTAAATTGTGTTCCCCAAGTGCTCACACGTGGAAGTTCTAACCTCCAGTGCCTCACAATGTAGACTTATTTGTTAACAGGGTGATTACAGTTGCAATCAGTTGAGATGAAGTCATACAGGAGAAGGGTGGGTCCCTAACCCAATATGTCTGATGTCCTTACAAAAAGCAGAAATTTGCAGAAAGTCACTCACATACACAAATAATGACACATGAAGATGGAGGAAAAGATCAAGGTGATGTTTGTAACACCAGGGTTGCCAGCAAACCACCAGAAGCTTGATCTGTGACTTGTAGCTGCCAGAACTGAGACAGCACATTTGTTTGAGCCACTTAGTTGTACTTAGTTCCAGCAGCCCTAGCAAACTAGTACCCCTAGCATGATGCCAGGGAGCAATAACTCAGTAGGAGGCCCCCAGACTTCCCTCCCTCATAGCGCCCCTGGGGCTGATGCAAGAAGGCTTGGGAGCCACTGATGTGGCTCTACCATGTGGCTCTACCGTGAAAGAGGATGAAGCACCTGAAACTGCTGTGTGTCTGACCCTTGTACTTGACTACTAATTTAATTCCATTTGATCAGAGCATAGTCTGCATGATTTTAGTCCCAATTTATTGAGATTTGTTTTACAAATTAGTGTATGATCTGTCTTGGTAAATAAACCTAAATATTTTTCACATGATTGTAGTTTAGGGAGTTTATGGTCTTTTAAAAATATATATTTTATTGATTATGCCATTACAGTTGTTCTATTTCCCCTCTTCATTCCCCTCCACCCTGCACACGCCCTCCCCCACAATTCCCCCCTTTAGTTTATGACCACGTGTCTCAAGCTCTTTAGATTCTGTATTTCCCATACTAATCTTGCCCTCCCCCCTATCTATTTTCTACCTACTGTCTGTGCTACTTATTTTCTGTACCTTCTTCCCCCTTCTCCTCCTCCCGCTCCCCTGTTGCTACCCCTTAATGTGATCTGCATTTCTATGGTTCTGCTCCTGATCTAGCTGTCCTCTTAGTCTGCTTTTGTTTAAGGTGTGGTTGTTAATAACTGTGAGTTTGCTGTCCTTTCACTGTTCATCTTTTTAATCTTTTTCTTAGGTAAGTCCCTTTAACATTTCATATAGTAAGGGCTTGCTGATGATGAACTCCTTGAATTTGATCTTATCTGAGAAGCACTTCATCTGTCATTCCATTCTAAATGAAAGCTTTGCTGGGTAGAGCAATCTTGGATTTAGGTGTTTGGATTTCATGACTTGGAATACCTCTTTCCAGCCCCTTCTTTTCTGTAAGGTCTCTAGAGAAATCTGCTGACAGTCTGATGGGAACTCCTTTGTAGGTGACTGTCCCCTTATGTCTTGCTGCTTCTAGGATTGTCTCCTTCATTTGAATCTTGGCTAATGAAATGATGATGTGGCTTGGTGTGTTCCTTCTTGGGTCTAACTTTTTTTGGACTCTCTGAGCTTCCTGGATTTCCTGGAAGTCTATTTCCTTTGCCAGTTTGGGGAAGTTCTCCTTTATTATTTGTTCAAAGAATTTTTCACTTGTTGCTGTTTTTCTTCCCCTTCTGGTTCCCCTATAATTCGGATGTTGGAATGTTTAAAGATGTCCTGGAGGTTTTTTAGCCTCTCCTCATTTTTCTGGATTCTTGTTTCTTCATTCTTTTCTGTTTGGTCCTTTTTTTCTTCCTTCTGGTCCACTCCCTTGATTTTAGTCCCAGTTTTGTTTCCATCACTATTGGTTTCCTGTGCATTTCCCTTCATTTCAATTAGTTTAGCCTTCATTTGTTCCTCTAATTTGTGACTAAAATCAACCAGTTCTGTGAGCATCCTGATCACCAGTGTTCTGGACCATGCATCTGAAAGTTTGGGTATTTTTTCGTTGCTTAGATTTATCGGCTCTGGGGCTGTGAGTTGTTCTTGAGCCATGATTTGATCTTTTTGTGCCTGTTACATATGAGGAGCAAAGCCTTAGGTGTTCACTAGGGCAGGGCCACCCAGGTCACTGGTTTGTGATGTTGTATGTGGGGGCAGGGTAAGGAAGGGACAGGGGTGGTTCCCTCTGCTGCTTCCCGCCACTGGGGCCTGCACTGTCTGTCTCACTGCTCGCTCCGTCACCGGTTTATCTATGCGTGAATGTGTGACTGTGGTCAGCCCTCAGTGAGTCCACCACCTTGTGCCCACAGTGGGTCCGTCCACTACTCCACACCTAAGATCTGCCTACAGCTGCTGGCGTGCCTGGGTTGCACTCCCGGGTGAGTCGGTCGATCTTTCCTGCCCGACCCCACTATGCTGCTGGCTCTGCCCCTCTTACTGGTTTGGCTGGGGGAGTGTTGTCGTCAGACTTCTGTATAGTTCAATTTTCTGTGGTTTGGCTGCATTTTTGTTGCTAAAACTTTGTTGCTTTTAAACTTGGTTGTGCAAAAAGGGACAGTGCTTCCACCTACACCTCCATCTTGGTGGAAGTCTTAGTGTGTTTATGGTCTTTACTGATCTTTTGTCTAGGTGTTTGTTCATTTATTAAAACACAGATATTAAAATTGCCAGCTGTAATCATGGCATTTTCTACTTTTCTCTTCATTTCCATCCATTTTTTTCCCATGTGTTTTGAGGCAGCATTGTTAGGCACATACACAGTTGTGATTATTAAGTCTTCCTGATAACTTTCCCTTTTTACTGTTATAAAATGTACCTCTTTACACTTGGCCAGACTCTGTTTTTATCCTGTTGACATAGCCACTCCAGTTTTCTCATGCTTACTATTTGTATGTTGGATAACTTTCCATCCAATCCCTGTCAACCCTCCTGGGTCTTCATATTCGGGGAGTCCCTTGTAGACAGCATACAGCAGGGACTGCTTCTTAATACTTTCTGATTATCTTTGCCTTTTTATGGTGAGGGTTTAGGCTATTAACATTTAATGCAGTTATTGGTTCATCTGTATTTAGAGTTCCTAATTAAATACTTGCTTCTGTCTGAGCCTGTTATGAATT